TTTTAACTTGAGTTTGTTTCGTGTTTGAACTTGAGGTTGTGGAAATTGTTAAACTTGAGAATTGGGTATTGGTTGAAGTTGAGTTTTTTGTGTTTTTGAACTTGAGTTTGTGGCATTTGTTGAACTTGAGTTTGTGTTGTGTTCGAACTTGAGTTGCGTGTTTGGTGAACTTGACTTTGTGTGTTTTTTGAACTTGAGTTTCTGTTGTTTTTGAACTTGAGTTTGTGGCAATTGTTAAACTTGAGAATCAGGTGTTGGTTGAACTTGAGTTAGTCTGTTTGTTGAACTTGAGTTTTTTGTGGTGTTTGAACTCGAGTTTGTGTTTTTGAACTTGAATTTAGGTGTTTGGTGTACTTGAGTTAGTGTGTTTGTTGAACTTGAGTTTTTTGTCGTGTTTGAACTTGAGTTTGTGGTTTGAACTTGAGTTTGTGGTGTTTTTTGAACTTGAGTTTCTTAAACTTGAGTTTGTGTCGTGTTTGAACTTGAGTCTGTGTTGTTTTTGAACTTGAGGTTGTTGAATTGTTAAACATGAGAATCAGGTTTTGGTTGAACTTGAGTTTCTGTTGTTTTTGAACTTGAGGTTGTGGAAATTGTTAAACTTGAGAATCAGGTGTTGGTTGAACTTGAGTTGCGTGTTTGGTGAACTTGAGTTTGTGTGTTTTTTAACTTGAGTTCCTATCGTGTTTGAACTTGAGTTTGTGGTTTTTTTCAACTTGAGTTTGTGGTGTTTTTGAACTTGAGTTTTTGTGTTTTCTGAACTTGAGTTTCTGTTGTTTTTGAACTTGAGTTGCGTGTTTGGTGAACTTGACTTTTTGTGTTTTTTGAACTTGAGTTTCTGCTGTTTTTGAACTTGAGGTGGAAATTGTTAAACTTGAGAATCAGGTGTTGGTTGAACTTGAGTTAGTCTGTTTGTTGAACTTGAGTTGCGTGTTTGGTGAACTTGAGTTTGTGTGTTTTTTGAACTTGAGTTCCTGTCGTGTTTGAACTTGAGTTTGTGGTTTTTTTTAACTTGAGTTTGTTTCGTGTTTGAACTTGAGTTTGTGGCGTTTGTTGAACTTGAGTTTGTGTCGTGTTTGAACTTGAATATGTGTTTTTTTCGAACTTGATTTCGTGGTGTTTTTGAACTTGAGGTTGTGGAAACTGTTAAACTTGAGAATTGGGTATTGTTTAATGTTTAGTTTTTTGTGTTTTTGAACTTGAGTTTGTGTCGTGTTTGAAATTGAGTTTTTGGTGTTTTTGAACTTGAATTTAGGTGTTTGGTGAACTTGAGTTAGTGTTTTTCTTGAACTTGAGTTTTTTGTCGTGTTTGAACTTGAGTTGGTGGTGTTTTGAACTTGAGTTTGTGGTGTTTTTTGAACTTAAGTTTCTTGAACTTGAGTTTGTGGCAATTGTTAAACTTGAGTTTGTGTTGTTTTTGAACTTGAGGTTGTGGAAATTGTTAAACCTGAGAATCAGGTGTTGGTTGAACTTGAGTTGCGTGTTCGGTGAACTTGAGTTTTTGTGTTTTTTGAACTTGAGTTTGTGTTGTTTTTGAACTTGAGGTTGTGGAAATTGTTAAAGTTGAAAATCAGTTGTTGGTTGAACTTGAGTTTCTGTGGTTTTTGAACTTGAGGTTGTGGAAATTGTTTAACTTGAGAATCAGGTGTTGGTTGAACTTGAGTTGCGTGTTTGGTGAACTTGAGTTTTTGTGTTTTTTGAACTTGAATTTCTGTTGGTTTTGAACTTGAGGTTGTGGAAAAATTGTTAAACTTTAGAATCAGGTGTTGGTTGAACTTGAGTTTCTGTTGTTTTTGAACTTGAGGTTGTGGAAATTGTTAAAGTTGAAAATCAGGTGTTGGTTGAACTTGAGTTTCTGTTGTTTTTGAACTTGAGGTTGTGGAAATTGTTAAACTTGAGAATCAGGTTTTGGTTGAACTTGAGTTTGTGTCATTTTTAAATTAAGTTTGTGTGTTTGTTGAACTTGAGTTTGTGCTGTGTTTTAATTTGAGTTGCGTTTTTGGTGAACTTGAGTTTGTGTTTTTTGAACTTGAGTTTGTGTTGTTTTTGAACTTGAGGTTGTGGAAATTGTTAAACTTGAGAATCAGGTGTTGGTTGAACTTGAGTTGCGTGTTCGGTGAACTTGAGTTTTTGTGTTTTTTGAACTTGAGTTTCTGTTGTTTTTGAACTTGAGGTTGTGGAAATTGTTAAACTTGAGAATCAGGTGTTGGTTGAACTTGAGTTGCGTGTTTGATGGACTTGAGTTTTTGTGTTTTTTGAACTTGAATTTCTGTTGGTTTTGAACTTGAGGTTGTGGAAAAATTGTTAAACTTGAGAATCAGGTGTTGGTTGAACTTGAGTTTCTGTTGTTTTTGAACTTAATGTTGTGGAAATTGTTAAAGTTGAAAATCAGGTGTTGGTTGAACTTGAGTTTCTGTTGTTTTTGAACTTGAGGTTGTGGAAATTGTTAAACTTGAAAATCAGGTGTTGGTTGAACTTGAGTTTCTGTTTTGTTTGAACTTGAGGTTGTGGAAAAATTGTTAAACTTGAGAATCAGGTGTTGGTTGAACTTGAGTTTCTGTTGTTTTTGAACTTGAGGTTGTGGAAATTGTTAAACTTGAGAATCAGGTTTTGGTTGAACTTGAGTTTGTGTCATTTTTAAATTAAGATTGTGTGTTTGTTGAACTTGAGTTTGTGTTGTGTTTTAATTTGAGTTGCGTGTTTGGTGAACTTGAGTTTGTGTTTTTTGAACTTGAGTTTCTGTTGTTTTTGAACTTGAGGATGTGGAAATTGTTAAACTTGAGAATCAGGTGTTGGTTGAACTTGAGTTAGTCTGTTTGGTGAACTTGAGTCTGTGTGTTTTCTGAACTTGAGTTCCTGTCGTGTTTGAACTTGAGTTTTTGGTTTTTTTAACTTGAGTTTGTTTCGTGTTTGAACTTGAGGTTGTGGAAATTGTTAAACTTGAGAATTGGGTATTGGTTGAAGTTGAGTTTTTTGTGTTTTTGAACTTGAGTTTGTTTCTTTTTTGAACTTGAGTTTGTGGCGTTTGTTGAACTTGAGTTTCTGTTGTGTTTGAACTTGAGTTGCGTGTTTGGTGAACTTGAGTTTGTGTGTTTTTTGAACTTGAGTTCCTGTCGTGTTTGAACTCGAGTTTGTGTTTTTTTTTTACTTGAGTTTGTTTCGTTTTTGAACTTGAGTTTGTGGCGTTTGTTGAACTTGAGTTTGTGTCGTGTTTGAACTTGAATATGTGGTTTTTTCGAACTTGAGTTCATGGTGTTTTTGAACTTGAGGTTGTGGAAAGTGTTAAACATGAGAATCAGGGGTATTGGTTGAACTAGAGTTTTTTGTGTTTTTGAACTTGAGTTTGTGTCGTGTTTGAACTTGAGTTTTTGGTGTTTTTGAACTTGAATTTAGGTGTTTGGTGAACTTGAGTTAGTGTGTTTGTTGAACTTGAGTTTTTTGTCGTGTTTGAACTTGAGTTTGTGGTGTTTTGAACTTGAGTTTGTGGTGTTTTTTGAACTTGAGTTTCTTGAACTTGAGTTTGTGGCAATTGTTAAACTTGAGTTTGTGTCATGTTTGAGCTTGAGTCTGTGTTGTTTTTGAACTTGAGGTTGTTGAATTGTTAAACATGAGAATCAGGTTTTGGTTGAACTTGAGTTTCTGTTGTTTTTGAACTTGAGGTTGTGGAAATTGTTAAACTTGAGAATCAGTTGTTGGTTGAACTTGAGTTTCTGTTGTTTTTGAACTTGAGGTTGTGGAAATTGTTTAACTTGAGAATCAGGTGTTGGTTGAACTTGAGTTGCGTGTTTGGTGAACTTGAGTTTTTGTGTTTTTTGAACTTGAATTTCTGTTGGTTTTGAACTTGAGGTTGTGGAAAAATTGTTAAACTTTAGAATCAGGTGTTGGTTGAACTTGAGTTTCTGTTGTTTTTGAACTTGAGGTTGTGGAAATTGTTAAAGTTGAAAATCAGGTGTTGGTTGAACTTGAGTTTCTGTTGTTTTTGAACTTGAGGTTGTGGAAATTGTTAAACTTGAGAATCAGGTTTTGGTTGAACTTGAGTTTGTGTCATTTTTAAATTAAGTTTGTGTGTTTGTTGAACTTGAGTTTGTGCTGTGTTTTAATTTGAGTTGCGTTTTTGGTGAACTTGAGTTTGTGTTTTTTGAACTTGAGTTTGTGTTGTTTTTGAACTTGAGGTTGTGGAAATTGTTAAACTTGAGAATCAGGTGTTGGTTGAACTTGAGTTGCGTGTTCGGTGAACTTGAGTTTTTGTGTTTTTTGAACTTGAGTTTCTGTTGTTTTTGAACTTGAGGTTGTGGAAATTGTTAAACTTGAGAATCAGGTGTTGGTTGAACTTGAGTTGCGTGTTTGATGGACTTGAGTTTTTGTGTTTTTTGAACTTGAATTTCTGTTGGTTTTGAACTTGAGGTTGTGGAAAAATTGTTAAACTTGAGAATCAGGTGTTGGTTGAACTTGAGTTTCTGTTGTTTTTGAACTTAATGTTGTGGAAATTGTTAAAGTTGAAAATCAGGTGTTGGTTGAACTTGAGTTTCTGTTGTTTTTGAACTTGAGGTTGTGGAAATTGTTAAACTTGAAAATCAGGTGTTGGTTGAACTTGAGTTTCTGTTTTGTTTGAACTTGAGGTTGTGGAAAAATTGTTAAACTTGAGAATCAGGTGTTGGTTGAACTTGAGTTTCTGTTGTTTTTGAACTTGAGGTTGTGGAAATTGTTAAACTTGAGAATCAGGTTTTGGTTGAACTTGAGTTTGTGTCATTTTTAAATTAAGATTGTGTGTTTGTTGAACTTGAGTTTGTGTTGTGTTTTAATTTGAGTTGCGTGTTTGGTGAACTTGAGTTTGTGTTTTTTGAACTTGAGTTTCTGTTGTTTTTGAACTTGAGGATGTGGAAATTGTTAAACTTGAGAATCAGGTGTTGGTTGAACTTGAGTTAGTCTGTTTGGTGAACTTGAGTCTGTGTGTTTTCTGAACTTGAGTTCCTGTCGTGTTTGAACTTGAGTTTTTGGTTTTTTTAACTTGAGTTTGTTTCGTGTTTGAACTTGAGGTTGTGGAAATTGTTAAACTTGAGAATTGGGTATTGGTTGAAGTTGAGTTTTTTGTGTTTTTGAACTTGAGTTTGTTTCTTTTTTGAACTTGAGTTTGTGGCGTTTGTTGAACTTGAGTTTCTGTTGTGTTTGAACTTGAGTTGCGTGTTTGGTGAACTTGAGTTTGTGTGTTTTTTGAACTTGAGTTCCTGTCGTGTTTGAACTCGAGTTTGTGTTTTTTTTTTACTTGAGTTTGTTTCGTTTTTGAACTTGAGTTTGTGGCGTTTGTTGAACTTGAGTTTGTGTCGTGTTTGAACTTGAATATGTGGTTTTTTCGAACTTGAGTTCATGGTGTTTTTGAACTTGAGGTTGTGGAAACTGTTAAACTTGAGAATTGGGTATTGGTTGAACTAGAGTTTTTTGTGTTTTTGAACTTGAGTTTGTGTCGTGTTTGAACTTGAGTTTTTGGTGTTTTTGAACTTGAATTTAGGTGTTTGGTGAACTTGAGTTAGTGTGTTTGTTGAACTTGAGTTTTTTGTCGTGTTTGAACTTGAGTTTGTGGTGTTTTGAACTTGAGTTTGTGGTGTTTTTTGAACTTGAGTTTCTTGAACTTGAGTTTGTGGCAATTGTTAAACTTGAGTTTGTGTCGTGTTTGAACTTGAGTCTGTGTTGTTTTTGAACTTTAGGTTGTTGAATTGTTAAACATGAGAATCAGGTTTTGGTTGAACTTGAGTTTCTGTTGTTTTTGAACTTGAGGTTGTGGAAATTGTTAAACTTGAGAATCAGGTGTTGGTTGAACTTGAGTTGCATGTTCGGTGAACTTGAGTTTTTGTGTTTTTTGAACTTGAGTTTCTGTTGTTTTTGAACTTGAGTTTGTGGAAATTGTTAAAGTTGAAAATCAGGTGTTGGTTGAACTTGAGTTTCTGTTGTTTTTGAACTTGAGGTTGTGGAAAAATTGTTAAACTTGAGAATCAAGTGTTGGTTGAACTTGAGTTTCTGTTGTTTTTGAACTTGAGGTTGTGGAAATTGTTAAAGTTGAAAATCAGGTGTTGGTTGAACTTGAGTTTCTGTTGTTTTTGAACTTGAGGTTGTGGAAATTGTTAAAGTTGAAAATCAGGTGTTGGTTGAACTTGAGTTTCTGTTGTTTTTGAACTTGAGGTTGTGGAAATTGTTAAAGTTGAAAATCAGGTGTTGGTTGAACTTGAGTTTCTGTTTTGTTTGAACTTGAGGTTGTGGAAAAATTGTTAAACTTGAGAATCAGGTGTTGGTTGAACTTGAGTTTCTGTTGTTTTTGAACTTGAGGTTGTGGAAATTGTTAAACTTGAGAATCAGGTGTTGGTTGAACTTGAGTTGCATGTTCGGTGAACTTGAGTTTTTGTGTTTTTTGAACTTGAGTTTCTGTTGTTTTTGAACTTGATTTTGTGGAAATTGTTAAAGTTGAAAATCAGGTGTTGGTTGAACTTGAGTTTCTGTTGTTTTTGAACTTGAGGTTGTGGAAAAATTGTTAAACTTGAGAATCAAGTGTTGGTTGAACTTGAGTTTCTGTTGTTTTTGAACTTGAGGTTGTGGAAATTTTTAAAGTTGAAAATCAGGTGTTGGTTGAACTTGAGTTTCTGTTGTTTTTGAACTTGAGGTTGTGGAAATTGTTAAAGTTGAAAATCAGGTGTTGGTTGAACTTGAGTTTCTGTTGTTTTTGAACTTGAGGTTGTGGAAATTGTTAAAGTTGAAAATCAGGTGTTGGTTGAACTTGAGTTTCTGTTTTGTTTGAACTTGAGGTTGTGGAAAAATTGTTAAACTTGAGAATCAGGTGTTGGTTGAACTTGAGTTTCTGTTGTTTTTGAACTTGAGGTTGTGGAAATTGTTAAACTTGAGAATCAGGTGTTGGTTGAACTTGAGTTAGTCTGTTTGTTGAACTTGAGTTTTTTGTCGTGTTTGAACTTGAGTTTTTGTGTTTGTTGAACTTGAGTTTCTGTTGTGTTTGAACTTGAGTTGCGTGTTTGGTGAACTTGAGTTTGTGTGTTTTTTTAACTTGAGTTTGTTTCGTGTTTGAACTTGATATTGTGGCGTTTGTTGAACTTGAGTTTGTGTCGTGTTTGAACTTGAATATGTGTTTTTTTCGAACTTGAGGTCGTGGTGTTTTTGAACTTAAGGTTATGGAATCTGTTAAACGTGAGAATTGGGTATTGGTTGAACTAGAGTTTTTTGTGTTTTTGAACTTGAGTTTGTGTCGTGTTTGAACTTGAGTTTTTGGTGTTTTTGAACTTGAATTTAGGTGTTTGGTGAACTTGAGTTAGTGTGTTTGTTGAACTTGAGTTTTTTGTCGTGTTTGAACTTGAGTTTGTGGTGTTTTGAACTTGAGTTTGTGGTGTTTTTTGAACTTGAGTTTCTTGAACTTGAGTTTGTGGCAATTGTAAAACTTGAGTTTGTGTCGTGTTTGAACTTGAGTCTGTGTTGTTTTTGAACTTGAGGTTGTTGAATTGTTAAACATGAGAATCAGGTTTTGGTTGAACTTGAGTTTGTGTTGTTTTTGAACTTGAGGTTGTGGAAATTGTTAAACTTGAGAATCAGGTGTTGGTTGAACTTGAGTTGCGTGTTCGGTGAACTTGAGGTTGTGGAAATTGTTAAACTTGAGAATCAGGTGTTGGTTGAACTTTATTTGCTTGTTTGGTGAACTTGAGTTTTTGTGTTTTTTGAACTTGAGTTTCTGTTGTTTTTGAACTTGAGGTTGTGGAAAAATTGTTAAACTTGAGAATCAGGTGTTGGTTGAACTTGAGTTTCTGTTGTTTTTGAACTTGAGGTTGTGGAAATTGTTAAAGTTGAGAATCAGGTGTTGGTTGAACTTGAGTTTCTGTTGTTTTTGAACTTGAGGTTGTGGAAATTGTTAAAGTTGAAAATCAGGTGTTGGTTGAACTTGAGTTTCTGTTGTTTTTGAACTTGAGGTTGTGGAAAAATTGTTAAACTTGAGAATCAGGTGTTCGTTGAACTTGAGTTTGTGTTGTGTTTTAATTTGAGTTGCGTGTTTGGTGAACTTGAGTTTGTGTTTTTTGAACTTGAGTTTCTGTTGTTTTTGAACTTGAGGTTGTGGAAATTGTTAAACTTGAAAATCAGGTGTTGGTTGAACTTGAGTTTCTGTTTTGTTTGAACTTGAGGTTGTGGAAAAATTGTTAAACTTGAGAATCAGGTGTTGGTTGAACTTGAGTTTCTGTTGTTTTTGAACTTGAGGTTGTGGAAATTGTTAAACTTGAGAATCAGGTTTTGGTTGAACTTGAGTTTGTGTCATTTTTAAATTAAGTTTGTGTGTTTGTTGAACTTGAGTTTGTGTCGTGTTTTAATTTGAGTTGCGTGTTTGGTGAACTTGAGTTTGTGTTTTTTGAACTTGAGTTTCTGTTGTTTTTGAACTTGAGGTTGTGGAAATTGTTAAACTTGAGAATCAGGTGTTGGTTGAACTTGAGTTAGTCTGTTTGGTGAACATGAGACTGTGTGTTTTTTGAACTTAAGTTCCTGTCGTGTTTGATCTTGAGTTTTTGGTTTTTTTAACTTGAGTTTGTTTCGTGTTTGAACTTGAGGTTGTGGAAATTGTTAAACTTGAGAATTGGGTATTGGTTGAAGTTGAGTTTTTTGTGTTTTTGAACTTGAGTTTGTTTCTTTTTGGAACTTGAGTTTGTGGCGTTTGTTGAACTTGAGTTTCTGTTGTGTTTGAACTTGAGTTGCGTGTTTGGTGAACTTGTTTTTGTGTGTTTTTTGAACTTGAGTTCCTGTCGTGTTTGAACTCGAGTTTGTGTTTTTTTTTACTTGAGTTTGTTTCGTGTTTGAACTTGAGTTTGTGGCGTTTGTTGAACTTGAGTTTGTGTCATGTTTGAACTTGAATATGTGGTTTTTTCGAACTTGAGTTCATGGTGTTTTTGAACTTGAGGTTGTGGAAACTGTTAAACTTGAGAATTGGGTATTGGTTGAACTAGAGTTTTTTGTGTTTTTGAACTTGAGTTTGTGTCGTGTTTGAACTTGAGTTTTTGGTGTTTTTGAACTTGAATTTAGGTCTTTGGTGAACTTGAGTTAGTGTGTTTGTTGAACTTGAGTTTTTTGTCGTGTTTGAACTTGAGTTTGTGGTGTTTTGAACTTGAGTTTGTGGTGTTTTTTGAACTTGAGTTTCTTGAACTTGAGTTTGTGGCAATTGTTAAACTTGAGTTTGTGTCGTGTTTGAACTTGAGTCTGTGTTGTTTTTGAACTTGAGGTTTTTGAATTGTTAAACATGAGAATCAGGTTTTGGTTGAACTTGAGTTTCTGTTGTTTTTGAACTTGAGGTTGTGGAAATTGTTAAACTTGACAATCAGGTGTTGGTTGAACTTGAGTTGCGTGTTCGGTGAACTTGAGTTTTTGTGTTTTTTGAACTTGAGTTTCTGTTGTTTTTGAACTTGAGTTTGTGGAAATTGTTAAAGTTGAAAATCAGGTGTTGGTTGAACTTGAGTTTCTGTTGTTTTTGAACTTGAGGTTGTGGAAATTGTTAAAGTTGAAAATCAGGTGTTGGTTGAACTTGAGTTTCTGTTGTTTTTGAACTTGAGGTTGTGGAAATTGTTAAAGTTGAAAATCAGGTGTTGGTTGAACTTGAGTTTCTGTTTTGTTTGAACTTGAGGTTGTGGAAAAATTGTTAAACTTGAGAATCAGGTGTTGGTTGAACTTGAGTTTCTGTTGTTTTTGAAATTGAGGTTGTGGAAATTGTTAAACTTGAGAATCAGGTGTTGGTTGAACTTGAGTTAATCTGTTTGGTGAACTTGATTCTGTGTGTTTTTTGAACTTGAGTTCCTGTCGTGTTTGAACTTGAGTTTTTGGTTTTTTTAACTTGAGTTTGTTTCGTGTTTGAACTTGAGGTTGTGAAAATTGTTAAACCTGATAATTGGGTATTGGTTGAAGTTGAGTTTTTTGTGTTTTTGAACTTGAGTTTGTTTCTTTTTTGAACTTGAGTTTGTGGCGTTTGTTGAACTTGAGTTTGTGTTGTGTTTGAACTTGAGTTGCGTGTTTGGTGAACTTGACTTTGTGTGTTTTTTGAACTTGAGTTTCTGTTGTTTTTGAACTTGAGGTTGTGGAAATTGTTAAACTTGAGAATCAGGTGTTGGTTGAACTTGAGTTAGTCTGTTTGTTGAACTTGAGTTTTTTGTCGTGTTTGAACTTGAGTTTTTGTGTTTGTTGAACTTGAGTTTCTGTTGTGTTTGAACTTGATTTGCGTGTTTGGTGGACTTGAGTTTGTGTGTTTTTTTAACTTGAGTTTGTTTCGTGTTTGAACTTGATATTGTGGCGTTTGTTGAACTTGAGTTTGTGTCGTGTTTGAACTTGAATATGTGTTTTTCTCGAACTT